TTGTACAATGTGTCGATTTGAAAACTGACCCTAAGCAGTGGGAGCACCCAAACGGGTCTGAGTACCGTATGTCACATTAAAATGATTCACCCCCGTTGTACATTACACAGCGTGCCCTTTGTTTTGTTGGGACTCTCTTGTTTTAAGAAAAATGCTTATTGAGTAAAGCATTACTCCAGGTGAATAAAATCTTAACCCTTGCAGTGGGGCTACTCCGGCACTGCGAGGCTTAAATGCTTGTTTTGTCTAGGGGACGAAAATAAAGTTATACTCACCCGAACCGCGTTCCCAGCTTGCTATTAGACTCGTCCCTCCAGCCTCTCTTCCCCACTGCTTCAGTGCCCCTATATACTGTATAGGACATGACACACGGCCTCATACTGCTAGAGCGGAGGGGGCAGTGCGGCTGAAGGGACCGGCGTAGCAGCAAGCCAGGACGCAAGGTTCAAGTGAGAGTTCTGTTGTTTTTGCTCTCTAGACAAAATGAGCACCCACTGGGGGGGGGAGGGGACTGTAACGGTTAGGATTTTATTTCCCTGGAGTTCTGCTTTAAAGGGACACAAAATCCTATAACACAGCGTAGCTTGTGCAAAAGATTTATTGATGTTTACATTAAGAAAATATGCATATAAATATCTGAATGTTGGCTTGAAAATATTTTCTCCTCAGCAAGATTTATTTATTCCAGGGTTTGTTGGAACTTTTAATTTTTTTGTACTGTAATTGTCTTTTAGGAATTGAACATTATCGAACAAAATTCCCGACCTTTATTCATTTGTTCTTTTCTTTGTGTATTTTTCATATATCACCCATTCATCTTTTATTTTTTATCAATTTAAGAAAAACCTTTCTACATTTTTCTTCCCCCTCTTGATGTACACGCTGTTCTAAATCTTGCCATCATTTAGGATATCACACGCAGACTATTGTTTTGGCCTTTCTGAGCTCTTTTTTTTTTGGAAGGGGGGGGGGCAATGGAGCTCTGTGTTGCGAGGCTTAATGTGTGTAATGCGCATCATTTTATTTGTGCATTTCTTTTTTTACACCACAAGGTCACAATATGTCTTTGCATTTGATCGACTCCTATTCAAGAAAAAAAATGTTTTACTTATGTTTTAATGAAAACCGTTTTTTGTGTGTGAAAAAGACTCGCCCACTTTTTCTTTCATGAGCAGCAGCGTCTGTATAGTTGTGTGAAAGCTGAACTCCAGGCAGATATCAGCCAAAAAAATTATGGTTACCTGAATTGGAGTTCTATCATCCTCCCTGGACAGTAAGGCTCAGACTTGGAAAGGAAAAAGCAGCTCAAGGGGCCAATTGCTTGTGCTGCAGCTCTAACATGGAACATTTTGATAGTAGGAGAGAACAGAGTGGAGCTTATCAGTCTTCTGCTTCTCCTTTCACTGTCCTGTCACAGACTGGGGGAGGGACAAGACCGGAGCTGACAGCTGCTGTCCAGTCACAGACTGGGGGAGCGACTAGACCGGTGCTGACCGCTGCTGTCCAGTCACAGACTGGGGGAGGGACAAGACCGGTGCTGACTGCTGCTGTCCAGTCACAGACTGGGGGAGGGACAAGACCGGTGCTGACTGCTGCTGTCCAGTCACAGACTGGGGGAGGGACAAGAACGGTGCTGACTGCTGCTGTCCAGTCACAGACTGGGGGAGGGACAAGACCGGTGCTGACCGCTGCTGTCCAGTCACAGACTGGGGGAGCGACTAGACGGGTGCTGACCGCTGCTGTCCAGTCACAGACTGGGGGAGCGACTAGACCGGTGCTGACCGCTGCTGTCCAGTCACAGACTGGGGGAGGGACAAGACCGGTGCTGACTGCTGCTGTCCAGTCACAGACTGGGGGAGGGACAAGAACGGTGCTGACTGCTGCTCGCCAATTACAGACTGGGGGAGGGACTAGACTGGTGCTGACCGCTGCAAAAGTAAGCCAGGTCTAATGCCGTGGCAGAGCTGTGTTTTCAAGGAGTTCAACTTTAATTTTTCAGCGTCTGAGCCGTTTTTATATGGCATTAAATGCGGTAGATGATGTACTGTTTATAACTTGATGATTGGCTAAACGGCGTCTATTTTATCCGAATGAGATTATAAAAACATATTTTCTCTTGGTACTGTATTTTTCACACATTTTGATATTTCCCGGGTTTTATATTTTTTAAGTTCTCCAGTTTGAATAGGTACGCGGCAATATTGTTGGAAGTTCTAGTCAATGTCTTAGACTTGGTGATGTGTTCAGATCATCCATGTCCTCCTCTTTGTTCCACCGATCACAATGAAATGCATCCGTATATTCCGCAGACTTCGGTTCAATCGCCATAAGCCACAGACTAGTCCATGAATTGGATTTAAGAAGCCAAAGCGTTGCTCCAGCGTCAGCGTTGTATTTGATCAAATTCGGTTGAAAATCTGAGGGAAACGTGCGTGTTTGTGTGTGTGTGTTCGATCCTTTGCAGAACTGTCACACGGTGCCTTTTATAAATGTAGCTCTCCAGTCAATCTTCAACTTTGTTATACTTTTTTTTTTTCTTTCTTTCTTTCATCGAGGGAACATGTAAAAAATTTTATTAACTTTTTTTTTTTTAAAGAGCATTTTTCTTTTATGTAAATATGTACATTTTCTTAGAAATGAAAAAAAATGTCCAAAAAGCACATCAGGTTTTTATGAAGTTACCATATCACTGATCATTACCCAACAAATAATGTCTTGTACATTTGTTTTTTTATTTTAAAGGTACTTGGAGATTAATAAAATAATAAACTGATATATGTATAAGCGTGTGTGCTGTGTACTTAATTTAGTGTGTGTGTGTGTGTATATATATATAGATATATATATATTTAGGTTGCACAGATACTTTTCGAGTACCAG